CTTTTGAGCAGATGCAGGAATTCAGGAGGAAGGCGCCTGCAGCCCCAAGGAGGTGACCTGCCCGGCTGGGCCAAGGGAGCCGGGGGAGGCCTGGGCTGCTCCTGCACGCAGGGAGCCTGAGGGGACCCACAGGAAAACCACTCAGGCCAGGTATTTGCAGCTCCATTCCCCTCCGGGCCTCTGGTTTCCTCCCCGCTTCCTCCTTCCCTGCCGGCCACAGCACCTATCAACAGGAACAGCCCCAGGTCTAAAGCTGGAAAGCACCCTCAGGTCACAGCTGGGCAGAGACGGGGCTGGGGGCAGCAGCACCGGGGACGGGGAGGGCCCCAGAGGGTCCCATGGGCACAAACAGGCACCAGGAGGGACGGGAGGGCGAGGGCAGCACTGAGAGCTGGGATTTGGGATCTGGAGCCATGGTGGCAGCTGGACGAGGCTCCTGGATCAGGACAGGCCAGGGCTGAGGTGAGGGACTCATTTAGCATTGAAAGGCAATAAAAGTAGAACTGTGAAAGACACAGGACAAAGCTATTTTTAAAAGGGCAGAACCACAACCATTTTTATTTGCGGTTCCAAATCCCGTATTTATGTCACAGTGTCTGATTCTTTGCATGATTGCTGAAAACCCAAACTTTTAAAGGTCTGCTTCTGTGCTCTCAGTGCCTCAAGGGATGTGGATTTTGGGACAAGAGACACTGGATAAAGAGCAGTCAGTGCCCCGCCAGCTCCGCAGGGGCCAAGTGAGCGGCTCCAGCCCCCCTCCCCAGCCCGGCAGCGCTGCAAACCAGAGGCACGGGGGCAATTTTGCTTCCTGACCCCTTCCTCCACCTGAGAGGGTGCAGCCTCGCCCCCTCGGCAGCCACCTCGCAAGACACCGGCACTGCCTGTGTGCAGCCGCAGGCAGCCCCTGCCTGCACCCCTGCCCGACCACAGTCAGCGCTGTGCCCAGCAGAGCCCCACGAGCATGGGGCCCCGGGTGGTGTGAGGGGCACTGGGGGCCGCATCCAGCCCCAGCGGAGTGGGGATGGGGCCCCCCGGGCAGCGGGGATGGGTGTGAGGACCAAGTCACTCAGGGAAGGTCCTGGGGTCCCCAAGGAGAGGGGCTGGGGCGGCCCCAGAGGGGCTGGTGCGGCCCCCTGTGCCTGAAGGAACGCAGGACTTGGACAGAGCTCGGGAGCATTCGAATGGGGTCGTGCGAGGGTGGGAGCACTAAGCCACTCTCGGCAGCAGCTGCAGCAATGGGCAACACACGAGGGCAGGCAGGACCTCACCTTCCTTGTGAAGGGGCTGCAGTTGGCCCCTGCAGAAATCACCCACTGCTATCGCACGAACTTGTTCTGCACCGCTGGGCTGCAGCCAGCCCAGGACCCAGCCACGGCAGCCACCTGCAACTGCACCATGGTTTTAGGATCATGACAGCAAACTCGCAAGACACGTTTTCTGTGTAAACAAGGACTTGGACCTTCCAGCCCCAGCAGCCACCTCAGGGTCTGGAGCCTCTCAGAGACTTTGGACCTCGCGAAAGCCCCTCCCCAGGGGCTCCAAGGAGAAAAGGGAGCCCCAGGGCCCCACTCTTCCTGAGCACCTCCATGGATGAGATCAAGCCCATCAACAGCAACAAGTGGGAAAAGGTGAGGAGGCAACAACTTCACCACTGCCCTCTGCATCCCACTGACAGCATCCCACTACCAGGTAGTGAAGGAGTGCAATGACAGAGAGGAGATGGGAATGCTGCTCAGAGACCTGGAAAACAACAGGTCCGGATGCTCCCGGCACAGAGCCCCTGGCAGCATCACAGAAATCACACGCAGGTGCCCATGGACACAGCTTCACCAAGGACAAGCAGCCAGCGCACACCAAGGTCGCCTCGTACCCTGCTCCCGACGGGCGCCCAGCCCTGGGCTGGCTGCAGGCACGTCTCGGGGGGCGACCCCAGCCACTACAGAGCCAGCTCCTGTGCTGGCACAGGCACACACAGGGGCCGGCATGGAGAGGGCACTGCTGCCCTCACTGCCCTTTCAAAGGGAGAGCAGCAAGGTGACAGGCACCAAAAAGGCCACGGGGTGCTCAGCCCCAGCAGCTGGACCCGGATCCACCTGTAAAGCCCTGGAGCAGGACTGGCACCAGGAGCACGAGTGAGGAGGCAAATGGAAAACAGCACGTGACGGGCAGGAGGGCCTGGAGCAGCAGTGCTGAGAGGAAGCCTGAGCCCAGGCCAAGAGCCCCGCACAGGGCAG